TTAAAGATTTTGTCAAACTTTTTGGTAAAAACCTCGTTGTAACCACGTTGTTACGGTGCATTGAGAGAATTACTTATATTATACCATTCTTTCTTATATTCAGCAAACCGTTCATCATTCATTTGAAGTTTTTTTACGACTACCTTTTTTAACTGAAGTCAAATGAAATGTAATGAAATATCTATTTATGTACCTATTTGTGCAAATATTTTTATCTTTCTGAAATTAAGGTACCGGAACTCCGTTCCACTGCATTCCCCCCAAATCGAGCACTGAATAACAGTAAAACTCTATCCCCTATATCAACAATACAAATAAAAAAAACAAAACATAACATTTACAAGAGTTTAAACTTTATGCGTTAACCATGTTACCAGAAAAATAGAAGCCTGTATATAGAAACAAAGTACTGTAGGCCTACCTATGGAAATTGAATTTAAGGTAAAAATAACAAGATATATATTTAAATTTGTTTTATTTGCAAGCATTTTTGATATTGTTATTTCATTGTGTTTCAACAACTAAGTTATTTCAACTGTGCAAATACATTCTGGAGGTAGCATAAATTAATGAGTCGGTTCATTATAACCTAAACTTTACCTTCCTAATCGAACCAAACTTCAAAACACTTAATACAGTCACGAATTCGCATAAAACCCAACCTACCTTCCCCATATGCCTAACTAAGAGCTGATTATTTAGTTTCAAAACAAATTGATTTAATTCCGCATTGAGTTGAGTATAAACAGCTGTTTGCTTTCCTCACACAGTCCTCGGCCCACATTCGGACCCGCCCAGACAACGTTATATTACCATCCGAACCGCGAAATGAACCTTAGATTCGTAATTTTAGCCTTCGTTTTACATCCACTTAGGGATCTTTCCGACAAAAACTGATTACATTTTTGGAATCAGCGTGAAAAATACTGTAAGTAAATATCTAAAAATTTCATCATATCTCAATGTAGATATAATAAATAATTGCCAAATATTTTATCGGATGAGTAAACACATTTAATCTTAACAATGCATATCGACATTTATATCCAATTGAATTTTTCGATTACGAAAATTCTTTTTTTCCAATGTAAGTCGCTAAACATCATATTGATTTAAGTTATGGTTGGTACGGTTTTTGTTCATATTTAAGAAATTAAACTACTGTCTGGGACTAACTTACAATTGACCAAAAATAAATTATAAATTTGGCCTATTAAAAAGAAAGGGTAGGCTACACTTCCATATCTGTTGGCACAAACAACAATATTGATTATTCGATTGTTTAATTCGATATATCGTTTGGTTGGTTAGGTTAGGTTACCTTACCTAACTAACCAAACAATATATCGAATAATCGATATATCGATCGATATTACTCATTCGGTTGTTTGTTTCAACAGATATGGAAGTGTACCCAAAACGAACAAAACAAATAGGCCTAGGCCTACCTAATAACAAAACAACCAAGGATAAAACAATAAAATGCTTGCTTCTTTAATGTTTGGTTACCTCGGTAGGTGTACCTATGGCTCTGGGGAGTGGGATTTTTTAAACGTTATTTTTTATTTGTACCTTATGGTAAATTTATGATAGGTAAACTTAAATTCAATAGGCCTACGATATTAAGTTAAGTTGAAATCATACCGATAAGTAGTTATTCATCTGATAAAATAAGTAAGTTATCGTTGGTTCTCTGCGGAACTGTAACTTACCCAGTAGGTAAGATAGGTAGCCTACATTTTTATAAACTCATGAGAAAGATCAAAGTTAACTTACCGTAGCCTAATTTATGTATTTAAAAACTTATCTCTATAACAAATCATTCACAAAAGATTCATGTTCATTTTTAGAAATGTTACCTTTGTTATTAGGCCTATTATAAACTAAAAAGTGAGCTACACAGTGTAAAGAGTCTCCTTAAAAAATTATCTTAGGCATAAATTGTTCAATATTGAAATAGGCCTTGGCCTACATGATAAATAATGGCATGATAAATAGGTACGGTAAGTGGTATCACCTAAAAGTAAATCGATTAGATAAGTTATCGCATAGGCTATATTAAACAAATATTTCATCTGATAAGTTATCGTAGGCTAGGTTCTCTGCGAAACTGTTCCCCTGAAGATGGGTAACTTAATCTAAGTAGGCCTACTATAAGGACTCAGATCTAGTAGCTAAAAGAAAGTTATAGGCTACATTACCTTTTTAGGTCTATTTTGGTAAGTTAGAGTTATATTAAGGCCTTTTCTTAGTTGAAACTTGCTAGCGTAGGCCTACATTCTTCGACGGTGAAAAACACATTAAACACAGATTGTTGTATGAACAAACAAATAAACATAGTACTGTGACATTGGACACAGATTTTAACAAAACATTTGACAGGCCAGACCATACCTAGGCTAGGCAACACGGCCATCTAGGCAATTTATGTTAACAGACACACTTTACACAAAAAAAACTTAACATGACACAGCACTTCCTCGCTTCACCGCCTTCCTTCAAAAGCTTAGACCAAATTCAGGAAAGCTCCTTCCTATTGCCTATTCTTGTGTCCATTGGCTGAGTTTCATCCGCTCTTCATCCGAACTGAGTACTTGTTCTAGGTTAAACACTCCTTTTATCTATGGTTAAACTTAACTTAATGCATGAGGTTTGAGTTGAATCTAAAATGCAGTTTAACTGCATTACTTGCCTACGTAATTTAAATGGTTAGGATTTTATTCACAAATGTTTAAGACCTACTTAGGTTGCCGTCTTATCATCAATAGCAGAATGCACTAAACCTTGAGGAATATGTTCTATCTATGACTTAGCATTTCTGATTCTGTCTAAAGTGAGTGAACTGCAGACGACCGATGAAAAAAGGATATATTAAATGAAAAAAACCTTATTTGAAAAAAAGTCTTAGTACTTATGTTATATCGTTATTCAGTAATATGAATGTACAGTAACTAAATATTTCGGGGCAAAATTTGAATGACTGAATAGATAAAGCCACCGTTGCGACGCCTTACTGATTTTTAATTTAGAAAAATATAACTAAAACCATTGATTATTGGATAATGAAATCTTAACTAATATTAATTAGTCAAAGCTAACACTTAACTTTTAGCAAGTTAGGAAACAATAGTAGACTTTCACCCACGGCATCGTTTACCGTCACGTCGTACTTATTATATAGCACAGCCTACTGAAGAAATGTAGCCTGTAGAATAAACATGTAAATATTTATTTTTCAATCAATTGCGATATATTTTAGTAGATAATTTGTTAACTCCACCATTATTTTCGTAAATACATTATTATCCTAGAAATTGTAGAGTTATAATGAAAATACTGTATGACTGTTACTCTATGGATGAAAGAGTAGTCGTTCTCTTTGTCTCAAGAAAACGACAAAATTGTAGGTCGTAAAATGTAAACAAATAATAAAAAGAAGAAGGTAGCTTAATGTTAATCTTATGGGACAAAATTAAAAATGTTTTTTGAAGATTTTATAATAATTACGGAACAAATATTTTTGAACAACGAATGGTCGCAAGATATAGTGGTATAGAATATTTGTGCAACACATCAAGTTTATAACTTTAGTCATTCTCGAGATTTCGATCAACAGAAAGATGCATTTCACCCCAGTATGAGAATTCACTTCGTTCATTCAACCAGGGGATGAGTGATTGTGTTATTGACTTAAATTAACACGTTGATTAGTCTATGAATACTTATTATTATTAAAATTAAACTATTCTAAACTAACCTAACCAAACCAAACTTGCTGTAGCGTAAAATATAAGTATGATGACAGAAAAGGCATGTGTGGAAGGCAAGTCGGATTTTATGCGGATTCGTGACTGCATTAAGTCGTTTGAAGGTAGGTTAGATTAGGTAAGTTAAAGTGTAAGTACTTATACTGAGTTGATAATTTATATTACGCACAGGCAGTTGTTGTGCAATTAAAATAGTGTGTTAAGCACAATGAAATCGTTATTTTGTTGTGTTTAACACACTATTTTAATGGCACAACAACTGTCTGTGTGTAATATAAATTATCAACTCGGTTCACTATAACCTACACTTTACCTTCCTAATCTAACCTAACTTCAAAACACTTAATACAGTCACGAATCCGCATAAGCCCGACTTGCCTTCCACACATGCCTAAATAAAATCATTCTGAAATAAGTTATTCAGTGCCGTGTTGTTTCTTAGATGTTTGTAGCACATGTACTTTAAATGACTTGATTGGCCTATTTGTATTCTCTTCAATTTCGTATTTTCATTTTCATTTCACGTTCAGCATGGCCTGTTTTTCTAGTGGGGCCTTGGTATAGAACAAAAAGATAAAAATATTAAGGCTTTATAATACTTTGATAAAGATTTTATGTTTGAAACATATTTAATAGTGGAACATTTAAACGTTGTTGAGTGCACAGTTGTTCTGCGATTGAGGATTTATATATTTGGACTTATCCAAAAGTAAAATAGTTTTCTGTGGAAACAAAATGTGGCACTATTTCAAATCATGACTAATACAGAATGTTGTGATTATTTAAACCTACAAAACAGTTGGTGAAATTAACATCTGCTTTTAAATTATATTTATTTGTAAACATTGTAGTTCCAAAATTCTGATATTGGACCCCTTAAAACCCTCTGAGGTGGAGCCCTTCTGCTGGATTTGCTCCAAACTTCACACAAACCGTCCTTGAGTAATGTAGAATAATGCCTGAAAGTTTCATTACAATCTGACGAGCAGTTTCGGAGTCCATAGAGTATATACATACATACATACGCTTACATACATACTTCCTCTTTTATAGATATAGATTACATGGCTTAAGTTTTTTTTTTATTTTGTTTATTATTGCCTGTTTTTTTATGGCACTTCTTTAGTAGCCCTACACTTCTCTGCTTTTCAAAGACATGCCAACACAGACAGGCTTTAAGTATTAGTTGTATATCTAAATTTAGTAAAATATGTACAACACATTTTGTTTCAGGCGGACTACGATGAAGATCCCAACATAAATGGCATCCCTATTGAGTAAGTAAAAGTGTTATCACCATGTTAACTTTGCCTATATCATGTGATAGAGACCTTGGAAGAATTGTTCAATATTCCTGCCGTAGTTTGGACTTTCAATCCGTAGTTGTACTAGCCTTTATGCAAAAACGAGACAATTGAATTGTCCAACTCTGGAACTAGCTTATCCGTTTTGAGAGGCAGAATCGACTAACCATCCCACTCTCGAATTGCCTGACCTCAGAAACAGCTAACTCGATTATGTCCCTTTGCTGAAGTCACTAATTCGGGAACTAGTGAACCTGGCCTCACTTATTACACAAAGTGTTGTCAACGTTATGACAATATATCATGGACTGCAAAGTGTCTCAAATATATCCAGTGATAATGTAGACAATGGCTTTTGCTTGTTAACTAAAATTTTTGACATTTTATACTCTATTATTATATTGGTACTTGGCGACTAATCATTAGTATACTCTGAGAGCAATCTTTGGTCAATTTCATTAACCCAAATATATTTTTCCAGTCTATTTGTAATTTGACCGTTATTGATAGTAATAGTAATACTGTTGTTGACTTTGTTTATGTAAGCAGCAGTTATGATTTGTATGTATTGTATTCAGTTTGTTGTTATTTTTTGTAACCAACACACCCATTTATCTAAAAATAAAAATATATCTAATCTATATAAATAAAATTAGAGTTTTGTCTGTACATTGCTCAGAATCATAAATGTTTAGGTTATTTTTATGTTTTATACATTAAAGAAGCCGAAACAAGTCTCATCTAAATTTCTGTCCGTCTGTCTGTCTGTCTGTAACACTCAAGATGGCATTTTACGCAATCTTCTCCAGGAAAACAAGAGTACCTATCAAGATCCAAGTCATTTTAATGTATTCACTGGATAGGTGAGAGTGTCTTTAGCCATTCAAATATGGCCTCACTACTTTGTAAATTAAATTATGGACGCAACCATTTCCGATTACGTTTCGAAAGCAAATCCCAAACAAGTGAGATTAAAAACGTTTTTCTTACATAACGAATTTAATTAATCGCAAGTGGAATAATATAGTGTAACCGTAAATGAAATTAAATAACTAATCATCATCCAAGTCAGGAACCAGAGATTCTTTGTGTATAAAATTGTTCTTGAGTTTTGATAACCAGAAAGAAGAACTTGAATCAGTGTTGTATAGGGCTGAGAAACTTAAATTTATTAATGATCGTCGCCAATAGCTTACGAACACGGTTTCCACTCATTGACGGCGCTTCAATGGCGATTGTGTAAAGTGTAAAGTAAAAAATCACAACTGCAGTGGATGATTGTATTGTAACAGAGGTTTACGGTTTACGGATGGTGCTAAACTCGCTTTTCCAATGTGTCACTTTCTGTTCCTACTCACCGTGTGATGCAATCGCTGAACCATACACAGCCAATAGGCCTATAATGCTATAGCCCATCTCTTGGGTAATTACGCCTACCCAATTAATCATAACAACCTTTTCGATGACTGTTCTTGATACCGGTACTTTTCCCTAGAACACACGGCCTCCCTACTTCAGAAATAAAATTACAAACGTCCAAAAACCCAGCATTGTGTGATTTTTGTCACATTTCCTTCTAATGTAGATATACTAATCATTGTTTAGAGAATACGTAATCTATTAAATAACAAAAAGTTGTTTGTATAAGGTTGTTTTTTTCTTTCAAACTGATACCAATAAGTTTACATTAAAAGTTCTTTACAAATAAAGCAATTAATGGGAAATAACTTTTATGGCCGTTATCTTTTTACGAGTAAATCCAAAACCAAGAGATCAATAACCTTGGGACTTGATTAAAACACATTTAATTGGTTGTATGTACTTCTGAACTGTAAACGTTGGTTTTTGGTACTGGTTCTTTGTCTTAGAACTATTGGCAGCAGCAATAATTATTTTTATGTACCAACACATCACTGTAATTTACAAATTAGTTATCGTTGATGTTGCACCTTATTTATACAGTCGTATTACAGCCGTATTCAATTTAATTGATGTCTTAACTGTATAAGTTTTGCTTTTTCTGTCTGGATTCCAAAATGTTAGTTTATGCTAGCCTAAGAAAATGATAACTCATTTTAGTAAAACATTGTTCAGCAAACCATCATGAATTGTTTACGATTAACGTTGTTTATGTAGCCTATCAATAGTTCGTGGCCTATTTTGGTAATTTGGCCTATTGGTTTTACCAATCTAAATCGTAAATAGTACTTCAACTGCTGTTCTTAATATAAGAAGGTTTCAACTGACTACTATAAGGGGGGGTGCGTAGAACGGGCACAAAGCTATTAACACAATAAATTTGATTTATAAGCACAATAATATGAAATTAAATATTACTTTATTATCACAAAACATTTCACAAATCCAGTGTAGCTGGTGAAACAGATGAGATCTTTAACGCTGCAAAATAAAATAAAAATACCCCGCTGCAGCAAACCTGAAGACTTAGTAAATTTCCATTTACCTGTCTGGATTTCTACTAAAATATTCCCTAAAAATTGTCAGATTTATTTCCTATTTAAATAACATTATTTTTAGTGAGTACTGAGGTTTACTGCTATGGGGAAGATATTGTGGTGTTTTTTTTTTTATTGAAATGTTGATAGGTTAGTGGGTCAGTCCATGTCAAATCAACACACCTATTTTACCTCACCATCTTAAATTTAAATGAAATTTGCTATATAGGTTACCTTTATGAAGACTAAAAAAATACCAAATTTCAGCTCAATATCTCAAACGGATTCCAAAATACGGCCATTTGCAGTTTTAAAAAAACGGTCAAAATTGTGCTGAGGTAAAACGTCTAAATTGTCATAACTCTTCTCCTGTTTAAGTTAGAAACATGGGAAAGGTGTCATTTTTTAGTTCTTTTTATGCCCTTTCTAATGATATACAACACATAATAGGTTATGAAAACAACATTTTTTCAAATTCAAAAATACATTTTCAAATAAAATAGGCATATTAAAAAAAAAAAACACATTCAGTACTCTATTATTTCCTAAAAAATATATAAAGTTGTTCATGTTACCACTAATGTGTACATCAAGTTTGGTTATGGGATTGCAATGGGTTCATGGTGAAAATAATTCAAAACCAACGGTGGTTTGTTTAATTTTATGTATTTTTGTTGGTAGGTACCTATATACAATCATGTTATATCTAATATTGAAATGAAATTCAACCTTGACTGTTGCATACACATGAAACACATTGTAATTTCATTATGTTAATGACGAAGACTAATAAAAAATATACATTTAAATTACGAATTTTGTTAAGGCCAGTTTTATTTATTTGGAATTTTTTTCAAGAAATGAATGATAGTCTATTGTATTACAAATATTTTGGTTGTTTGTTACATGAAATAAATAAAATGCCATCAACAATATTCATGTTCATAAAGTGCTCATCAATGTAGGTTAAAAAGAAACTTACATACGACAAGTCTATATGTGTTGGAGGTACTGTGATAACATTTCATTGGTTCTTAAAATCTCTTCTTCGGTTAGGGCGTAATTCTGCCTATTGGAGTAGTTGGATTCACAGTACATAATACATCAGTGAATGGTAGCCATAGTACATCTGGTCGTCTGGGGTATCTAAATGATGTTGGTTGGAAGAATGTAACTTTTACTTCGTCTTCGTCTTCCTTTTTGTCCATTGTATAAGCAAGCCACTAGTTGGAGTCGTATACAATACCTATGTAACCATTACAGTCTGCGCTTAGTCTGCAGGTTTGCTGTGGCAGGGGTATTTACAGTATTTATCTTGTGATAGAAAATTATTTTGTACATTTAATTTTGTTCTTATGCACTTCCACATTTATAGTGAAAATGAATTAAAACAAAATTAAATGTACGGTACACAAATCATCTTGTACTATACTTCATAAGAAGAAGTGAAACATGAAGAAGTATCACATTCCATTTATGTATAATTATTAACAATTGTAATGTCTACTAAGTGCATTAATTTTTACCATTTATTCTACTCACTAAAAGGAACAAAAAATGTCAAACATAAATTTTCCAACCCCACCCTAAGTTGTAATGATTCGGCATTATGTGTATTTTTAAAAGTATCTGTAATTGCTTCACTAACGAGCATAGAAATCTAACCAATACCTGTACAGCATTATTGAGCGGAGCGAGGGAAGCGAGCGAAGCTCTTATACGTCGACTCTTATGCATTTCGTAATACGCAAACTCCTCCTAGACGGCTGAATCAATCGTTTTCAAATTTTGCATGGTGATAAAGACCATATTGGTGAGTGACAACATCTATATGGCGTTAAAAAAGTCTCTCAGGAATCCGCCCCACTGGGTCTCAAAGTTTCTATGTAATTCTTATGGAAGCAGTATTTGACACATGAACAAAGACATTATAATCAGCTGTTGACTTTTGAATGCAGTAGATAAAGAAATAACTAAGAGCATTATATATCCACAGATATTAGAATGGGGTAGCGGATTTTTATCCCCCTGGAATTTTACCCCCTGGGCAAACGTGACGTCACAAACCAGGGGGTAAAATTCCGGCCGCAAACTTTTGAGTTTCGCGACATCAGCTCGATGGATTAAACGCGGAATTAAACATATATTTTCACGGTTGTGAATTTAATCAGAAAACATCAAATTATAAAAACCTAGAGTGTACGGCCCGGATTTTTACCCCCGGAATTTTACCCCCTGGATTTTTACCCCCGAAATTTTACCCCCTGGCCAGATAAATAAATTAGTGAGAATGATTAATTATCTATATTCTGTTTTAATTTAATTGTAAACATTTTATTATTAAGTAGCCTATCTTAATTTATTTGTAACAACAACTAATCGAACAGGTTTTTGATTTTAATTTTGAGATTCCAGTATCAGGATTTGACCTTTGAAGCCAACTGTTGATTAATATGACGTATAAACAAACATCAGAATGTTAATTAATTCGAAGATTTCTTTAACGATTTATTATAT